TCCTCTGCACTCTGGGGTTTTACAGAGACAAGAAAGGTGAGAAATTCACTATTGTTTCTGTAGACTATGCAAACAGAGTTTTAAGTTTCTTAAGTTTTAGTTTAAAGAAGAAATATAGTTTTGGTTAGATAATGATAGGTAGTTAATTTTTGTTTTATTTTGCAGGGAACATTATTTTGGGGAATTAAGTTGGGATAAGGGGTAATAGTATAGGTATATTTAATAGGGTTTTATCCTTTTCACAGGATCCTTGGAGGCATTATTATTTTTGTTGTTTATTTAACTTAGTTTATTGTCGATTTTGTGATATATATTAATTGAGTTGGAAATAAATTTATTTGGTTTGCAAAATCTTGTGTTCGGTTGTCATTATGACTTTAAACCCCTGAATCCTGTGGACCTGAGGACCGGAAACAGCATCCTCCTGTTACAGTAATAATAAAAATAACGCCAAACGGATATACTTGTACTGCCACTTTTTTTGCAGTTGATTAACACTCTCATATCAGCGTGTCTACATGGTGGAATGGAATGGCGTACGTACATGTATTTAGGAAATCACATTTAGCCAAAATCTTCAACACACTTTAAAATACCCGAAATGAAGGTTGTCATGGAAACTTTATGAACTAAAGACATTAAAATACACAGATCATCAGAAGTGTAATAGACACCGCACAAACAATTGACTTTCCGATGCATAGTCTTCAAGAACAATCATGGACACTGTCTTGGACTGCAAAATGCATCATAAAAAGAGATGCGGTGGAAACTTCCGTTTTAAAGTTGGACTTTTGAGTACACATATTACCGGGGAAACCGTCTTTATAAAGAGTTCCACATCTATTTACACAAATCGCTTATCTGTCACTGGACCCACCTTAACCACATGTTTCGCAAGACACAGATCATTAGATTAAAACAGCAGGCTCCCACAAGTCAGTAATTTGTCAAAGGATCTACATTAGCATCATACTTCCACAAACACAGATCATTAAATCGTCAAAGGATCTACCCTAACGTCATACTTCCAAATACACTGATCATTAAGTTGTCATAGGAAGTACTTCTACAAACAGTGATCATTAAGTTGTAAAAGGAAATACCCCAACATCTTACTACCAAATACACAGATCATTAAGTTATCAAATGATCTGCCTTAACGTCATACTTCTATAAAAACAGATCATTAGAAGTTGTAAAAGGAAATACCCTAACATCATACTTCCAAATACACAGATCGTTAAGCTGTCAAAGGATCTACCTTAACATCACACTTCCACAAAAAAGATCGTTAAGCTGTCAAAGGATCTGCCTTAACATCATACTTACAAATACACAGATCGTTAAGCTGTCAAAGGATCTGCCTTAACATCATACTTTCAAATACACAGATCATTAAGTTGTCAAGGGATCTACATTAACATCATACTTCCAAATACACACATCATCATGGTTGTCACAGAAAGCACTGTAACATCAGCGCCGACATTTGGATTGTTTCCTGGTTTACCTGAAACACAAAAAGACCAGCAAAACGAATTACGTCAGCGTGGTAGTGATATTTGCATTATTTCATCTAAACATGGAAGAAATGATATTTTCAGGAATTGTGAACGCGGGCACATTTAGTGAGGTTTCACTTATCTTTGTTCCAGGTATCTTTGATAATTATGTACCGCTTCGTAGCACAAGTACTTTATCATGCATTGTATTTATAGATTACACCATTCTTATTGACTTCCTCGCTGACTTCACGAATTTCGAAGAGTCAGTATGTGCATGTGGAAAGATTGTCTGTCAGCACGTTCCTCTAGCATGTAAGGGGCGGTGGGCAAGCCTAATGGTTAAAGCGTTCGCTAGCCATGCCGAAGACCCGGTTCGATTCCCCTTATAGGTATAATGTGTTAAGCCCATTTCTGGTGTCCCCCGCTCGATATTGCTAGAATATTGCTAAGAGCGTCTTAACACTAAACTCACTCAATCTGCATCTGACAGCACACTCACCCAGGAAGGAGCAGGTGTCTCCGGTGTAGCCGTCATAACACTGACAGAAGTGATAGCTGGTGCAGATGTTGCATTCGCCATGGCCGCTGCACTGATCCCCTGACGATCCACAAACTGGGGCTGTAATAAAATGTAATTGAAACATGAACATTAAACACTACCAAAACAATAACAACAGAAGGAGTTTGTAGCGAAGTAGTAGAAGAAGTAGTAGTAGTAGTCGCAATAGTAGCAGAAGTAGTACTACTAGTAGTAGAAATAGTCGTAGTAGTAGTAGTAGCAGTAGTCGTAGTAGTCGTTGTCGTCGTAGTAGCAGCAGTAGTAGTCGTAGTAGCAGTAGGAGTAGCAGAAGTAGTAGTAGTAGTCGTAATAGTAGTAGAAGTAGTACTAGTAGTAGTAGCAATAGTAGTAGTCGTCATAGTAGTCGTAGTAGTAGTAGTAGCAGCAGTAGTAGCAGTAGTAGTAGTAGTAGCAGCAGTAAGTAGCAGTAGCGTAGCAGTAGCAGTAGTAGTAGTAGTAGCAGTAGCAGTAGTAGTAGTAGTCAGTAGTAGTAGTAGTAGTAGTAGCAGTAGTCGTAGCAGTAGCAGTAGTAGTAGTAGTAGTAGTAGTAGTAGTAGTAGTAGTAGTAGAAGTAGTAGTAGTAGTAGAAGTAGTAGTAGTAGAAGTAGTAGAAGTAGTAGAGATAGTAGTAGTAGTAGTAGTAGTAGAAGTAGTAGTAGAAGTAGTAGTAGTAGTCGATGTAATCGTAGTCGTAGTCGTAGTCGTAGTCGTAGTCGTAGTAGTAGTAGTAGTAGTAGTAGTAGTAGAAGAAGTAGTTATAGTATGTGTTGTATTTTGTATCGCAGTCAGCATTATTCCAGCAGTGTGAAGGCGATATTTAAAATTACTCAAATCTGGATTATATTATATAGCGGTTGATATAATGAGTATCGATCTGGACAATTAGGGCACGGTGGCCTATATCAGCCAATTAAGATATTCTGACCACTCAATCCCGTTACTCGCCAATTACGGTCGATGAAAATCAATCCTAACTCGGAAGTAGTAGCAGTACTACCAGCACCAGTAGTGAGAGAGGTAGTAGTAGTAATGATACATTATGAGGTAGGTTTAAGGGTGTATTAACAAAGCCACGTTTTCCTTATGTAACCAAATGAAATGTACATTACAAGAATGTTTTAGAAACAATAAGCCCTTTAACAGAAAGTATCCAACAATATTGAAGTAAAGGCGTGCGTATGTGTACGCGTGAGCGTATCTTACCTACGTTACACGTTTTCCCACTGTATCCATTCTTGCAGGCACAATAATTTTCCGATTCTAACCCGGATCGCCACGGGTCACTAGACAGATATAATAGCCCAAAGAGATTAATCGACTGTCTTCGACATTGTCGAATCAAGAATAACACCCTTCGGTTGTGTGTGACGCTACTGCCCACGACACGTGCAAACTACAGGGTGTTTAGTTTCACAGACATAACCGATTTTGAATATTTCATTTGTCTTCTACCCTTACCTTGTTCTAAAACTAGGTATTAACTTTTATTCATCACGAAGCATTGTTTTATCATTATCAGTGTTGCCAGTTCGATGGAAAACATCTCACCTTTCGCACACGCACAACTCTGATAACTGGTGAGGATTACAATATAACGTTTTCTCTGCATGAACTGCAGACTGCCCTAGGGTAGGCTTACGAGACAGAAGCTGATGCTACTCATTATCAGACTGCCCTCCATCATTTGTACAGATCATTAATTCGTTCTAAACAATATTATGGCTCAATTGTCTGTTCCATAATCAAGGCCTTAGGCTCTGTCTCGAAGCTTTTAGGGCCACTCTGGTAGACAGCATATATGCGGAGGCTAACAGACCTTCCATTGAACAACGCCACATTAAACATTATCTGCAGTATATCTCTAAATTACATTCAAATTAGCCAATTCCAGCCTACATTGTGTTTTCAACCTTCTGTATGAAAACGTCTTCCTCATCTGCCAAGGATGGCTCCACCCACCTAATGGAATCTGAATTAAAAAAACTAAAAATGATCTTAATATCATATCACCTTAGCAACTTTTGTCTTCCCCACCCTGGCAGATGGTGAACCAAGAGATGGATCTTACTTTCACCAAACTCAAAACATCCAAACCAAATCCTTTGGTGTTCTACCAGGAATACAACCAGTTACGTCCTAAGTATTACATCCATTTTTACAGACGAATCCAAGGATGATGGCAAAGTTTCCTGTCCCACAGTCAATAATCCCTGGCAATAGTTCCATTTTTGCAGCTGTGACCAATGCTATCCTCACGGCTTTGACCTATATTAAACAGCAAAACCATTCCTAAAACTTAATCATTGTATCAGGTTCATTGTCTTCCCTGAGGGCACTTCAGAATGTCTTTTCGAATCACCCTATCATTCTGGACATTTTAGAACCTGACAACAACCTTTCTACTGGCCAATATGACATCGTCCTCTGCTGGTCACCGCGTCACGTACTCATAGCAGGTAACACAAAAGCCGAAGCCGAAGTTAAAACGTCTCTTGACATGTGATGAGGAAGTCTTAGGACGTTGTGTTGGCTAAAGTCGGTTTACTCATGTCTTTTTGCTCAAGACACATGGAGATGGACCTCATGAGTGTATTTCTTGCGATGAGGTGTTCACCATCAAGCTAATTCCGCCAGACTGTATGGCCTTTTCAAATGCAAGGGATCGTATTATGATGAGATAAATCTGAAAGATCTAGTTTCCCGCACGAGCAGGAAACACATTGTGAAGGACTTGAATTGAAAATCTAACTCACGTCAATCATGCTGAGATGAAGGTGCTTTTAGTTATACATATAAATGATAAAACAGATTTATCAGCATCATATCACACTTCGGCGTATATGGGGGAATACTGCTATGTTACTGGTTAGAGTAGGTCAGGATTTCGCTAGTGAGACATGTCAGTTTGAAATATGTGGCCTTATCTGTCTCACGTGTAGTACACTTGGGACCCGTGTATCCGTTCCTGCAGGAACAGGAATATGTCGATGTGTCACAGGCTCCATTGACTCCACATTCACCTCCACCAGCAGTGCAGAAGGGGGCTGACAAAAGAAAAAGCAAAACAAAAATAATATAATGCCCGCACAAGCCGTAGGATATGTTCATTCAAGGGGAAACACGAGGAATTCGTTACTGATTGGATGTGAAGCGCGACGCACAGACCATTATCTTCAGGTCAGTAGCCTGATTCACTTTCTCACACTGATGCAGTCGAATAGTTGGCCTTACCAATGTTCCATTTGTCTCCTGTATAAGCGTTTCTGTACACTCATGAATATTAAGTAAATCTGTAATAATTTTTATTCATGATTTCTGAATTATGGCGTTGAATTATGATTCCGTTTGTAATTGTGCTGTAGTCTTACCAACGTTGCATTTGTTTCCTGTATACCCGTTTTTGCAGACACATGAGTATGAAGAGCTTCCATAGTAACTGCGACTTCGTGTGCAGTTTCCGTTAGCACCGCAATCGTTTCCTCCAATGGTGCAGAAAGGCGCTGAAACAAATGCAACGAATTTAATTCAGTTACATTTGCAAAGACATCCTTTAAGAGGCACAGTCAATCTGGACACTCTCACTTATTCTGCTAAGTGTGTTAAAATGTAATTTGTGTCTTTTTTTTTAAAGCCACACTCAACAATATACCAACTGTGTGACGGCTGTTTGTAAGCCATCGGGTCTGGACCAGACATTCCAATGACATCATGAGCATCGCTCCACGTAACTGAGATACGATGACATGGATCATGTAAGAGTCACAATAAATATTGACACGGTAATTTATTCTTAGAAGGTAGTAACGATGATATGTATGAACCGAGTGAGCTAACCTGCACACCCTACCACGCTAGTTGCCTTGAACGTCATGCTTGAGTTGCTGAAGATTGATTCTAATCCGTATGATAAATGGTGTTAAAATTGTTTAGATATGCTACATTCTGAATAGTCGGATCAAGATTACAGTTTCTGTATCTTGATTATTTTTTTTCTGGTAATATCATTCAAGGGAGATATCGGTAGTACACGGGTGGGGTGGGGGTGCGCTATATCTGTATTGCTAGTTACTTGGTAGATAAACAAAATGGTAAAATGGTCTAGTGAGACATATCATATATTTATCAATATAGTAAATATAGTAAAGATGACAGTTTCTTTACCTTCAGTATTTTCTCTAGCAATATCATTCAAGGGAGATATAGGGAGTACATGGGGGTATTGTGTTATGTCTGAATTTGCTAGTAACTAAGTAGATAGACAAAATCGTTAATTGAGACATTTCAGATTAAACATTTGGCCTTATCTGCCTCACGTGTAGTACACTTGGGACCCGTGTATCCGTTCTTGCAGGAACAGGAATATGTCGATGTATCACAGGCTCCATTGACGCCACATTCACCTCCTCCAGCCGTGCAGAAGGGGGCTGACAAAAGAAAAACAAAACAAAAAAAAATATAATGCCCGCACAAGGCGTAGGATATGTTCATTCAAGGGGAAACAAGAGGAATTCGTTTCTGATTGGAAGTGAAGCGCGACGCAGAGAACATTCTTTTCAGGCCTGTAGCCTGATTCACTCTCTCACACTGATGTAGTCGAAAAGTTGGTCTTACCAATGTTGCACCTGCCTCCTGTATACCCGTTTTTGCAGACACATGAGTATGAAGAGTCTCCATAGTAATTTCTGCTCTGTGTGCAATCCCCGTTGGTACCGCAATCGTTTCCTCCAATGGTACAGAAAGGGGCTGAAACAAACACAACGAATAACATTCAATTACATTTGCACATGCATCCCTTAAGAGTCACAGTCAACCTGTACACTGGAGAAGAGAGACTATGACATGCATTGACCACGTCAGCAAGCCTGACCACCCGATGCCGTTAGTTGCCTGGTACATCATGCATGGGTTGCTTAAGATGTATTCTAACCCGAACGTTTAAGGGTGTTAAAATTATTTAGATATGCTACATTCTGATTAGTCGGGTCAAGAAGACAGTTTCTGTACCTTCAGTATTTTCTCTAGCAATATCATTCAAGGGAGATATAGGGAGTACATGGGGGTATTGTGTTATGTCTGAATTTGCTAGTGACTAAGTAGATAGACAAAATCGTTTATTGAGACATTTCAGATTAAACATTTAGCCTTATCTGCCTCACGTGTAGTACACTTGGGACCCGTGTATCCGTTCTTGCAGGAACAGGAATATGTCGATGTGTCACAGGCTCCATTGACGCCACATTTACCTCCTCCAGCCGTGCAGAAGGGGGCTGACAAAAGAAAAAGCAAAACAAAAATAATATAATGCCCGCACAAGGAGTAGGATATGTTCATTCAAGGGGAAACAAGAGGAATTCGTTACTGATTGGATGTGAAGCGCGACGCACAGACCATTATCTTCAGGTCAGTAGCCTGATTCACTCTCTCACACTGATGTAGTCGAATAGTTGGCCTTACCAATGTTCCATTTATCTCCTGTATAAGCGTTTCTGTACACTCATGAATATTAAGAAAATCTGTAATAATTTTTTATACATGATTTCTGAATTATGGCGTTGACTTATGATTCCCTGTGTAGTTGTGCTGTAGTCTTACCAACGTTGCATCTGTCTCCTGTATACCCGTTTTGCAGACACATGAGTATGAAGAGCTTCCATAGTAACTGCGACTTCGTGTGCAGTTTCCGTTAGCACCGCAATCGTTTCCTCCAATGGTGCAGAAAGGCGCTGAAACAAATGCAACGAATTTAATTCAGTTACATTTGCAAAGACATCCTTTAAGAGGCACAGTCAATCTGGACACTCTCACTTATTCTGCTAAGTGTGTTAAAATGTAATTTGTGTCTTTTTTTAAAGCCACACTCAACAATATACCAACTGTGTGACGGCTGTTTGTAAGCCATCGGGTCTGGACCAGACATTCCAATGACATCATGAGCATCGCTCCACGTAACTGAGATACGATGACATGGATCATGTAAGAGTCACAATAAATATTGACACGGTAATTTATTCTTAGAAGGTAGTAACGATGATATGTATGAACCGAGTGAGCTAACCTGCACACCCTACCACGCTAGTTGCCTTGAACGTCATGCTTGAGTTGCTGAAGATTGATTCTAATCCGTATGATAAATGGTGTTAAAATTGTTTAGATATGCTACATTCTGAATAGTCGGATCAAGATTACAGTTTCTGTATCTTGATTATTTTTTTCTGGTAATATCATTCAAGGGAGATATCGGTAGTACACGGGTGGAGTGGGGGTGCGCTATATCTGTATTGCTAGTTACTTGGTAGATAAACAAAATGGTAAAATGGTCTAGTGAGACATATCATATATTTATCAATATAGTAAATATAGTAAAGATGACAGTTTCTGTACCTTCAGTATTTTCTCTAGCAATATCATTCAAGGGAGATATAGGGGAGTACATGGGGGTATTGTGTTATGTCTGAATTTGCTAGTAACTAAGTAGATAGACAAAATCGTTAATTGAGACATTTCAGATTAAACATTTGGCCTTATCTGCCTCACGTGTAGTACACTTGGGACCCGTGTATCCGTTCTTGCAGGAACAGGAATATGTCGATGTATCACAGGCTCCATTGACGCCACATTCACCTCCTCCAGCCGTGCAGAAGGGGGCTGACAAAAGAAAAAAACAAAACAAAAATAATATAATGCCCGCACAAGGCGTAGGATATGTTCATTCAAGGGGAAACAAGAGGAATTCGTTTCTGATTGGAAGTGAAGCGCGACGCAGAGAACATTCTTTTCAGGCCTGTAGCCTGATTCACTCTCTCACACTGATGTAGTCGAAAAGTTGGTCTTACCAATGTTGCACCTGCCTCCTGTATACCCGTTTTTGCAGACACATGAGTATGAAGAGTCTCCATAGTAATTTCTGCTCTGTGTGCAATCCCCGTTGGTACCGCAATCGTTTCCTCCAATGGTACAGAAAGGGGCTGAAACAAACACAACGAATAACATTCAATTACATTTGCACATGCATCCCTTAAGAGTCACAGTCAACCTGTACACTGGAGAAGAGAGACTATGACATGCATTGACCACGTCAGCAAGCCTGACCACCCGATGCCGTTAGTTGCCTGGTACATCATGCATGGGTTGCTTAAGATGTATTCTAACCCGAACGTTTAAGGGTGTTAAAATTATTTAGATATGCTACATTCTAGTGAGACATGATTAGTCAATATAGTCAAGAAGACAGTTTCTGTACCTTCAGTATTTTCTCTAGCAATATCATTCAAGGGAGATATAGGGAGTACATGGGGGTATTGTGTTATGTCTGAATTTGCTAGTAACTAAGTAGATAGACAAAATCGTTTATTGAGACATTTCAGATTAAACATTTGGCCTTATCTGCCTCACGTGTAGTACACTTGGGACCCGTGTATCCGTTCTTGCAGGAACAGGAATATGTCGATGTGTCACAGGCTCCATTGACGCCACATTTACCTCCTCCAGCCGTGCAGAAGGGGGCTGACAAAAGAAAAAGCAAAACAAAAATAATATAATGCCCGCACAAGGAGTAGGATATGTTCATTCAAGGGGAAACAAGAGGAATTCGTTACTGATTGGATGTGAAGCGCGACGCACAGACCATTATCTTCAGGTCAGTAGCCTGATTCACTCTCTCACACTGATGTAGTCGAATAGTTGGCCTTACCAATGTTCCATTTATCTCCTGTATAAGCGTTTCTGTACACTCATGAATATTAAGAAAATCTGTAATAATTTTTATACATGATTTCTGAATTATGGCGTTGACTTATGATTCCCTGTGTAGTTGTGCTGTAGTCTTACCAACGTTGCATCTGTCTCCTGTATACCCGTTTTTGCAGACACATGAGTATGAAGAGCTTCCATAGTAACTGCGACTTCGTGTGCAGTTTCCGTTAGCACCGCAATCGTTTCCTCCAATGGTGCAGAAAGGCGCTGAAACAAATGCAACGAATTTAATTCAGTTACATTTGCAAAGACATCCTTTAAGAGGCACAGTCAATCTGGACACTCTCACTTATTCTGCTAAGTGTGTTAAAATGTAATTTGTGTCTTTTTTTAAAGCCACACTCAACAATATACCAACTGTGTGACGGCTGTTTGTAAGCCATCGGGTCTGGACCAGACATTCCAATGACATCATGAGCATCGCTCCACGTAACTGAGATACGATGACATGGATCATGTAAGAGTCACAATAAATATTGACACGGTAATTTATTCTTAGAAGGTAGTAACGATGATATGTATGAACCGAGTGAGCTAACCTGCACACCCTACCACGCTAGTTGCCTTGAACGTCATGCTTGAGTTGCTGAAGATTGATTCTAATCCGTATGATAAATGGTGTTAAAATTGTTTAGATATGCTACATTCTGAATAGTCGGATCAAGATTACAGTTTCTGTATCTTCATTATTTTTTTCTGGTAATATCATTCAAGGGAGATATCGGTAGTACACGGGTGGAGTGGGGGTGCGCTATATCTGTATTGATAGTTACTTGGTAGATAAACAAAATGGTAAAATGGTCTAGTGAGACATATCATATATTTATCAATATAGTAAATATAGTAAAGATGACAGTTTCTGTACCTTCAGTATTTTCTCTAGCAATATCATTCAAGGGAGATATAGGGAGTACATGGGGGTATTGTGTTATGTCTGAATTTGCTAGTAACTAAGTAGATAGACAAAATCGTTTATTGAGACATTTCAGATTAAACGTTTGGTCTTATCTGCCTCACGTGTAGTACACTTGGGACCCGTGTATCCGTTCTTGCAGGAACAGGAATATGTCGATGTATCACAGGCTCCATTGACGCCACATTCACCTCCTCCAGCCGTGCAGAAGGGGGCTGACAAAAGAAAAAAACAAAACAAAAATAATATAATGCCCGCACAAGGCGTAGGATATGTTCATTCAAGGGGAAACAAGAGGAATTCGTTACTGATTGGATGTGAAGCGCGACGCACAGACCATTATCTTCAGGTCAGTAGCCTGATTCACTCTCTCACACTGATGTAGTCGAATAGTTGGCCTTACCAATGTTCCATTTGTCTCCTGTATAAGCGTTTCTGTACACTCATGAATATTACGTAAATCTGTAATAATTTTTATACATGATTTCTGAATTATGGCGTTGACTTATGATTCCCTTTGTAGTTGTGCTGTAGTCTTACCAACGTTGCATCTGTCTCCTGTATACCCGTTTTGCAGACAGACACATGAGTATGAAAAGCTGTCCATAATAACACCACAATGCTCTGCGTGCTGCAGTTTCCGTTAGCACCGCAATCGTTTCTGCTAAATGGTACAGAAAGGGCTTGAAACAAACACCAACGAATTACATTAAGAGATGATGACATGTTTCTGTACACGGTTCAGAATAGTACATTAAGATGACAGTTTCTGTACCTTCAGTATTTTCTCTAGCAATATCATTCAAGGGAGATATAGGGAGTACATGAGGGTATTGTGTTATGTCTGAATTTGCTAGTAACTAAGTAGATAGACAAAATCGTTTATTGAGACATTTCAGATTAAACATTTGGCCTTATCTGCCTCACGTGTAGTACACTTGGGACCCGTGTATCCGTTCTTGCAGGAACAGGAATATGTCGATGTATCACAGGCTCCATTGACGCCACATTCACCTCCTCCAGCCGTGCAGAAGGGGGCTGACAAAAGAAAAAAACAAAACAAAAATAATATAATGCCCACACAAGGCGTAGGATATGTTCATTCAAGGGGAAACAAGAGGAATTCGTTACTGATTGGATGTGAAGCGCGACGCACAGACCATTATCTTCAGGTCAGTAGCCTGATTCACTCTCTCACACTGATGTAGTCGAATAGTTGGCCTTACCAATGTTCCATTTGTCTCCTGTATAAGCGTTTCTGTACACTCATGAATATTACCTGTAATAATTTTTATACATGATTTCTGAATTATGGCGTTGACTTATGATTCCCTTTGTAGTTGTGCTGTAGTCTTACCAACGTTGCATCTGTCTCCTGTATATCGTTTCTGCAGACACATGAGTATGAAGAGCTTCCATAGTAACTGCGACTGCGTGTGCAGTTTCCGTTAGCACCGCAATCGTTTCTCCAATGGTGCAGAAAGGCGCTGAAACAAATGCAACGAATTTAATTCAGTTACATTTGCAAAGACATCCTTTAAGAGGCACAGTCAATCTGGACACTCTCACTTATTCTGCTAAGTGTGTTAAAATGTAATTTGTGTCTTTTTTTAAAGCCACACTCAACAATATACCAACTGTGTGACGGCTGTTTGTAAGCCATCGAGTCTGGACCAGACATTCCAATGACATCATGAGCATCGCTCCACGTAACTGAGATACGATGACATGGATCATGTAAGAGTCACAATAAATATTGACACGGTAATTTATTCTTAGAAGGTAGTAACGATGATATGTATGAACCGAGTGAGCTAACCTGCACACCCTACCACGCTAGTTGCCTTGAACGTCATGCTTGAGTTGCTGAAGATTGATTCTAATCCGTATGATAAATGGTGTTAAAATTGTTTAGATATGCTACATTCTGAATAGTCGGATCAAGATTACAGTTTCTGTATCTTCATTATTTTTTTCTGGTAATATCATTCAAGGGAGATATCGGTAGTACACGGGTGGAGTGGGGGTGCGCTATATCTGTATTGCTAGTTACTTGGTAGATAAACAAAATGGTAAAATGGTCTAGTGAGACATATCATATATTTATCAATATAGTAAATATAGTAAAGATGACAGTTTCTGTACCTTCAGTATTTTCTCTAGCAATATCATTCAAGGGAGATATAGGGAGTACATGGGGGTATTGTGTTATGTCTGAATTTGCTAGTAACTAAGTAGATAGACAAAATCGTTTATTGAGACATTTCAGATTAAACATTTGGCCTTATCTGCCTCACGTGTAGTACACTTGGGACCCGTGTATCCGTTCTTGCAGGAACAGGAATATGTCGATGTGTCACAGGCTCCATTGACGCCACATTCACCTCCTCCAGCCGTGCAGAAGGGGGCTGACAAAAGAAAAACAAAACAAAAATAATATAATGCCCACACAAGGCGTAGGATATGTTCATTCAAGGGGAAACAAGAGGAATTCGTTACTGATTGGATGTGAAGCGCGACGCACGGACCATTATCTTCAGGTCAGTAGCCTGATTCACTCTCTCACACTGATGTAGTCGAATAGTTGGCCTTACCAATGTTCCATTTGTCTCCTGTATAAGCGTTTCTGTACACTCATGAATATCAAGTAAGTCTGTAATAATTTTTATACATGATTTCTTAATTATGCCGTTGAATTATGATTCCGCTTTGTAATTGTGCTGTAGTCTTACCAACGTTGCATCTGTCTCCTGTATATCCGTTTCTGCAGACACATGAGTATGAAGAGGGTCCATAATAACTGCTCTCTGTGCAGTTTCCGTTAGCACCGCAATCGTTTCCTCCAATGGTACAGAAAGGGGCTGAAACAAACACAACGAATTACATTAAGATGACAGTTTCTGTACCTTCAGAATTACATTAAGATGACAGTTTCTGTACCTTCAGTATTTTCTCTAGCAATATCATTCAAGGGAGATATAGGGAGTACATGAGGGTATTGTGTTATGTCTGAATTTGCTAGTAACTAAGTAGATAGACAAAATCGTTTATTGAGACATTTCAGATTAAACATTTGGCCTTATATGCCAAAGAAGAAGGGGGCTGACAAAGGAAAAAAACAAAACAAAAATAATATAATGCCCGCACAAGGCGTAGGATATGTTCATTCAAGGGGAAACAAGAGGAATTCGTTTCTGATTGGAAGTGAAGCGCGACGCACAGACCATTATCTTCAAGTCAGTAGCCTGATTCACTCTCTCACACTGATGTAGTCGAATAGTTGGCCTTACCAATGTTCCATTTGTCTCCTGTATAAGCGTTTCTGTACACTCATGAATATTAAGAAAATCTGTAATAATTTTTATATATGATTTCTTAATTATGCCGTTGAATTATGATTCCGTTTGTAGTTGTGCTGTAGTCTTACCAATGTTGCATCTGTCTCCTGTATACCCGTTTTTGCAGACACATGAGTATGAAGAGCTTCCATAGTAACTGCGACTGCGTGTGCAGTTTCCGTTAGCACCGCAATCGTTTCCTCCAATAGTGCAGAAAGGCTCTGTAACATATGCAACGAATTTATTTCAGTTACATTTGCAAAGACATCCTGTAAGAGGCACAGTCAATCTGGACACTCTCACTTATTCTGCTAAGTGTGTTAAAATGTAATTTGTGTCTTTTTTTTAAAGCCACACTCAACAACATATCAACTGTGTGACGGCTGTTTGTAAGCCATCGAGTCTGGACCAGAAATTCCAGTGACATCATGAGCATCGCTCCACGTAACTGAGATACGATGATATGGATCGTGTAAGAGTCACAATAAATATGGGCACGGTAATTTATTCTTAGAAAGTTACATTCAATTACATTTGCACATGTACACTGGAGAAGAGAGACACTATGACATGCATTGACCACGTCAGCAAGCCTGACAACCCGATCCCCTTAGACGCCTCTTACGACAAGCATGGGTTACTGAAGGTTCCAGCCACAAATGTGACTCATACTGAAACAATTTAGCTAGGAGGAGCACACAACTGGTCCCCACGTGTTCTCTGACTGCGTTACCCTTAAAATTAAGGGCACTATTTCACTTCTCTAAAATGAAATACTGCATTTATCTCAATAATACTATCAGCCCTCAGGGAAGCTATCATATTTTATTCCTGAAAGAAAATGAAAACACAACAACCCGTATTTAGATTACAATATATATTAAAAAGTGACCTCTGAATTAAAGCAACGTTGCATTAAATCGACACTCGTGCCCTCTACCGACCGAACATTATTTCAAGCGAATCCCATGAGCTATGTCCCTTGGAGCGCTCTTTACGAATATCATATTGATCTCTGTTTCTCTGTGTTTAAGCTTGTCGCCTCGAAGTTTCAGTTATCGATTTCAGGTGAGTTGTAAGGGGATAAGTTTTTTATTGCATCAATAGGAAGCTACAGTAAGTGCATATGCCCCAATATGTATAATATAGGCCAAGAAATTGTAAAAGTGTAAAAATTGTGCCTTTAAGTAGATGCTGGGCCATTGAATATAATCTCATAGCCATGTTAATGAATATATCATAATAAGTAGCCTTATCAACGTCGCATCTGTTCCCAGTGTAACCGTTCATGCAGACACATGACAATGGAGGGTCGCTGCTACTTCGTGTGCAGTTTCCGTTGGACCCACAATCGTTTCCTCCAACAACGCAAAACGGGGCTGAAAAAAGACTTATTGCATTGCATCTGACCACTGTCATCATCAGATCTGGACACAATAACATAGTCAATTTCCGCCTTGCCGTTAATTTCTAAATATGGATGCTTGCTACATTGTAAATCGCAACCAGCGTTTATCATTCAAGTTGGATACACCTGACCCCCACTTAAGCCAACAGTTTAGCTCAATTCTTCTCACCTGTTCTGCACTTTGGGCCAGTGTAGTCGTTCTTGCATTTGCAGGTATATTCTTCGGAGGATGTGTCACAGTTACCATTGTCGCCACACTCGTTTCCCTTAGCAGTGCAGATTGGGGCTGTGAAGATTAAATTAACCGTTGTAATCCTATCCGACCAGATCATAAAACTAACAGTTGGTCATCTGTGCCCAACATGTGATAAGAAATCAAACTATCACACTGTCACCCTGTCTACCATGTATACCAACACTCACCGGTCCTCCCACCAGCCACATTCAGTGGTTCACACTAATCTCTCTCTATGTCTCTGTTTCTCTGTCTCTGTCTCTCTCTGTCTCTCTCTGTATCACTCTTACCCTCCCCCTGCCCCGGAGACAGTGGTTCACACTAATATCACTTTCTCAACCTTCAAGTGGTTTACACTAATATATCTCTCTCCCAATCCAATAGTTCACCCTAATATATCTCTCTATCCCCATTCAGTGGTTCACACTAATATATCTCTCTCGTCCCATCCAATAGTTCACATTAATATCACTCTATCCCTCTAACCCCTACCCCATCCAGTGGTTCACACTAATATATATATATCTCCTCCCATCCAATAGTTCACATTAATATCACTCTATCCCTCTAACCCCGCCCCCATCCAGTAGTTCACTCCAATGTATCTCTCGCTCCCCATCCATTAGTTCACACTAATATAATTCTCTCCCCAATACAACAGTTCACACAAATATCACTCTCTCCCCACACCCAGTATATCACACTAATATCACTCTCTCCCCCATCCAGTGGTTCACACTAATATCTCTCTCTCCCCCATCCAGTAGTTCACACTAATATCACTCTCTCACCCCATCCAGTAGTTCACACTAATATCTCTCTCTCCTCCATCCAGTAGTTCACACTAATATCACTCTCTCACCCCATCCAGTAGTTCACACTAATATATCTCTCTCCCCAATCCAGTAGTTCACACTAATATCACTCTCTCACCCCATCCAGTAGTTCACACTAATATCTCTCTCTCCCCCATCCAGTAGTTCACACTAATATCACTCTCTCACCCCATCCAGTAGTTCGCACTAATATATCTCTCTCCCCAATCCAGTAGTTCACACTAATATCACTCTCTCACCCCATCCAGTAGTTCACACTAATATAACCCCCTCCCCAATCCAACAGTTTACACTATTATCACTCTTTCCTCCCATGCAATAGTTCACACTAATATCACTCTCTCCCCACATCCAGTATATAGTTGTGACATTTTTATTTCGCCAAAACAGAAACCTGGATAGGCGAACAAGCCTAGTGGCTTATATAAACGCCGCTTCAGTACATTGTTGAAAATTAATAGCTTGATGCATAAATGAGATACATGTAATTTGACAACAAAAGAATAATACCGCCGTAACAAATAAATGATTGAGTAACAAATATGTTCGTTCTGGTGTTGGTTATGCCTAGCAACGAAATGGGCTGCCGCAGAAAATCACGTTACATTTAATTTGTCTTACACTGAATATATATGTTGAGGAGATAATCACTGGAAGCGGTTACTTTTAGAAATGAACTGGTGTAATTACTTAAGAATGTCACTATTAGTTGAGTTATTCAATGCACCGTTACCGTATAAAGTAGTTTTAACATCATATCCTTGAATATAAAAATACACAGTAGTTCTTAAATTTTGATAGTTCCGACATATAAAGAGGTAGTGAATAATCTTCGTTATAATAACCTCATGAGCACCTGGGCGTGTCCGATATATGCCGATTATATCTGTCTGCGGTTAGATCACTACAGCCGAGCCTGAGGCGACAATGAATGATTTGACAAAATCTAGTTCCAAAATTCAGATCAAAGTAATTGTGAGTTTCTGTTGTGCTTATCATGGTTTTAAATTGATTCAGGGAAATAGCGTTAACACCTCCATCAGGCAATGAATTCCACGTCATAATCGCGCTCGGTAAAAATGATTGAAAATATCTTTGCGTTCTACAATTAATAGTTTGAATGGAAGTACTATTTCTAAGCTTATAGTTGCTTTGTTCGAGTACTCTACCTGGTACAAGATCGTTCAAATAATCAGGAGGTACATTTTCTAGAAAGTTATGAGTTTAGAGCGATGTCGTCTTTCTTTTAGTGTGCTATAATTAGTTTCCCTGTATATTTTATCGTGACTGGTGCCACCGCTTATAGTTCTTAAGGCGTCTAAATGTACATTTTCCAGTAAAATCCCCTGTTCAATCGTACAATTATCCCATATATGACAGCAGTAATCTAAAAGTGGTAAGACAAAGGAGTTGTATAAAGTATTACGCATTTTCCGAGATAAACGACATTTCAAACTTTTTTGGACAATTGATCATTGGACTAATTTTCTTTATCATGTCACCTATACGAACTTTCCAAGAACAATCGCTTTGAAGTGTTATACCTAAGTGTTTATGGTTATCCAGTTCTTTAATAATTTCACCATTCATTAATAAGTTTGGTGTGACATAAGTTTGGTTTTTCGAGTGAATGTTATACTCCCAGTCTTATTAGGATTAAGTTGCCACTTTTTTAGCCCAATCTGACTATTTTGCCAAATTTTTAGTTAAAAATTGCGACTGCTGTAATATGATCATCTGTTATAGCATATATCGATGTATCATCAGCAAAAACGCGGATGTTACTATCTATACCATCCACAATGTCATTAATATAGATGATGAACAAAAGCGGTCCTAAAACGTAAACTTGGGGCCCGCGAGCTTTCACAACTTTAATATCTGAACTGTATCTATTTATTACCACTCTCTGCATTCTACTATCTAGATAACTTTCAAACCATTCCAAAAGTTCACCCCTTATATCGTAAGCATAAAGTTTATCAATAATGCCCCCATGCCAAACTGTATATCTAGTATATCACACTAATACATCTCTCTACCCTATCCAATAGTTCACACTACTATATCTCGCTCAACCCATCCAGTGGTTTACACTAATATCTCTCTCTCACCCCATCCCATAGTTCACACTAATATCACTCTCTCCCTCCACCCCCACCCCTATCCAAAAGTTCACACTATTATCACTCTTTCCTCCCATGCAATAGTTCACACTAATATCACTCTCTCCCCACATCCAGTATATAGTTGTGACATTTTTATTTCGCCAAAACAGAAACCTGGATAGGCGAACAAGCCTAGTGGCTTATATAAACGCCGCTTCAGTACATTGTTGAAAATTAATAGCTTGATGCATAAATGAGATACATGTAATTTGACAACAAAAGAATAATACCGCCGTAACAAATAAATGATTGAGTAACAAATATGTTCGTTCTGGTGTTGGTTATGCCTAGCAACGAAATGGGCTGCCGCAGAAAATCACGTTACATTTAATTTGTCTTACACTGAATATACTAGTATATGTTGAGGAGATAATCACTGGAAGCGGTTACTTTTAGAAATGAACTGGTGTAATTACTTAAGAATGTCACTATTAGTTGAGTTATTCAATGCACCGTTACCGTATAAAGTAGTTTTAACATCATATCCTTGAATATAAAAATACACAGTAGTTCTTAAATTTTGATAGTTCCGACATATAAAGAGGTAGTGAATAATCTTCGTTATAATAACCTCATGAGCACCTGGGCGTGTCCGATATATGCCGATTATATCTGTCTGCGGTTAGATCACTACAGCCGAGCCTGAGGCGACAATGAATGATTTGACAAAATCTAGTTCCAAAATTCAGATCAAAGTAATTGTGAGTTTCTGTTGTGCTTATCATGGTTTTAAATTGATTCAGGGAAATAGCGTTAACACCTCCATCAGGCAATGAATTCCACGTCATAATCGCGCTCGGTAAAAATGATTGAAAATATCTTTGCGTTCTACAATTAATAGTTTGAATGGAAGTACTATTTCTAAGCTTATAGTTTTGCTTTGTTCGAGTACTCTACCTGGTACAAGATCGTTCAAATAATCAGGAGGTACATTTTCTAGAAAGTTATGAGTTTAGAGCGATGTCGTCTTTCTTTTAGTGTGCTATAATTAGTTTCCCTGTATATTTTATCGTGACTGGTGCCACCGCTTATAGTTCTTAAGGCGTCTAAATGTACATTTTCCAGTAAAATCCCCTGTTCAATCGTACAATTATCCCATATATGACAGCAGTAATCTAAAAGTGGTAAGACAAAGGAGTTGTATAAAGTATTACGCATTTTCCGAGATAAACGACATTTCAAACTTTTTTGGACAATTGATCATTGGACTAATTTTCTTTATCATGTCACCTATACGAACTTTCCAAGAACAATCGCTTTGAAGTGTTATACCTAAGTGTTTATGGTTATCCAGTTCTTTAATAATTTCACCATTCATTAATAAGTTTGGTGTGACATAAGTTTGGTTTTTCGAGTGAATGTTATACTCCCAGTCTTATTAGGATTAAGTTGCCACTTTTAGCCCAATCTGACTATTTTGCCAAATTTTTAGTTAAAATTGCGACTGCTGTAATATGATCATCTGTTATAGCATATATCGATGTATCATCAGCAAAACGCGGATGTTACTATCTATACCATCCACAATGTCATTAATATAGATGATGAACAAAAGCGGTCCTAAAACGTAAACTTGGGGCCCGCGAGCTTTCACAACTTTAATATCTGAACTGTATCTATTTATTACCACTCTCTGCATTCTACTATCTAGATAACTTTCAAACCATTCCAAAAGTTCACCCCTTATATCGTAAGCATAAAGTTTATCAATAATGCCCCCATGCCAAACTGTATATCTAGTATATCACACTAATACATCTCTACCCTATCCAATAGTTCACACTACTATATCTCGCTCAACCCATCCAGTGGTTTACACTAATATCTCTCTCACCCCATCCCATAGTTCACACTAATATCACTCTCTCCCTCCACCCCCACCCCTATCCAAAAGTTCACACTATTATCACTCTTTCCTCCCATGCAATAGTTCACACTAATATCACTCTCTCCCACATCCAGTATATAGTTGTGACATTTTTATTTCGCCAAAACAGAAACCTGGATAGGCGAACAAGCCTAGTGGCTTATATAAACGCCGCTTCAG